AGATTGAATAAATTATGCAATATAAAAAGAGTTATGTACATTTTTCATTGAAAATACTTATAAAATTTAAAATTAAAATAAATGAAATAAATCATCAAATTGCTTTAAAAATTACTTCGAATTTATATAGATTCTAACACATTAGTTTATAGTATTGAGTATAGTATATGCTAAAAAATTATAGTCAACAAAAAACAAAAATGTCATATAAAATTTTAAAATATAATACAATGCTCATTTTTATCAATTACTCTGCTTTTTGTTGATTGTACCAAATGTAGTGTCAGATATGAAAGAAGTCCGGCAAATGTTAGTATATTCATAAAACAGTTTTTTAAAAACATCCATAATTTTCTACCGTCTTTATATATGAGCTGGCAGGAAAGGTTCAAAAGAAAATATCATTATGTCCCCGCATGACACACAGCCAAAGAGGAAAAAACTGCCCTTTGTAAAAGTAGGTGAACATAGAAAAGGTGTACTGGAAAGTTGGAAAGAGACTTCTGCAGCGTGTCAGACACGACGAAATGGATATAGGGTTGATACTATATCTGAAAAATGCATTATTGTGTGTAAAATTTATAGTAATTTACTGACAGGTAGTAAAATAATGGAAAATAGTGAATACATCTAAAATTAACGCACTCTTGAAGTTTCGAGTTCAAATTCCGCAATTTTAGTTGTTACCTTTATTTGTTTAATTAACATAGAAACAACACTAATTATCTAATTTCAAATATCACCACGTAGCAACAAGAGAGGAGGTGGGGTTAAAAAACCCTAAAAGTCATGTGAATAATAGACTCCCCTAAGTAAGCGAGGACAACTAAAGTGCGATTTTGCTCTTAAAAATGTGTTTGGACTCCACTTGTTGGTAAAACCTCCACTTTACAACCACAAAGTCCTACTTCAAATCCTCTGTTGCATTACCAATTTGATACCAGGTTGTGATATCACTTTCACATGAAAATATAGATCAAAATGCTTCCACGTGAAATTAGCTTTTCTGAGCATTGCTGACTATACTATTATATTATATTCACTATCAGAAAAAAGGACAACTATAGTGTTGAACCCTAATAAAAATTATCAAATGGATAGGACGACTATCGAATTACTTTTAAAAAGCTACGTATGTGATGAGGAGGGGTATCATCATAACAGTTAATACAACCCTTATTTTGATTGACGAAAAAAGTGCTTTGAGATAATACACTTAAAGTAACAGCAGCTGGCCTTTACTTCTAACAAGTATTAGTAAAAGAAAAAACTTATCCAAGAAGCTCAATACTTCCAAGTTTTGGAAATTTAGAACCTAATAAATTGGTTGTTGAAAGTTAAACTATCATTTAATGGAATTATTCAGCAGCCTTCTCGTACGACAAGACCTCAAACGCATCCCTTATCGACCTCCCCCGAGGTGTCCGGCACACAACCCTCAAACTCGCGCGCAGCTGACCGATAGTGATTTATTGATGTGAAAATAAATACACGACCGAAGAGTCGGTTCTGCTAACACAAGGTTCCTTCGTTCCGCCGCGTTTTATCCACTAGATAACCTATAGTGGACGTTATGTCAGGGATATTCCATTAGTTTTTATGAAAGGTCCCCAATATTGCTTTAGTTTTACTGCCCTTTGAATTTTTTTCGTGTTATTTATAAACGAAAACCTTGTACTATACGGGATTACGTATGCTTACATGTAGAGGTTTTAGGGATGAAAAAAGATGGATAAAATATGTTGCAAATGCCTATATAGAAATAACATATATTTGGATATAATGTCTGTGAGACTTTAGCAGGAATGAAATCGTCGTATCACGAAACTTGAGATACACAAAGATAAATCCGTTGTTCTTTTGTTACAAAACTGTTTTTTTTTTGAATATTTTTTTAACAGCAATCGGAACCTTACGCCCTATGAGCTGTTGGGCTAAAACTTCTCCTTACTTCCTATTGTTTAGATGGTAACCCAATGGTTAATCCATCCATATTTGATGATTTTGTTATTAGAATTAATTTAATAGGGCTGACTTTTTATTGGTGCAGCAATGCCGGGCAAGGGCTATTTTCACTTGGAAACATATTGCTATCTATATTTCCAAGTGAAAATCGTTGTCACTGCTGCCTGACAACAGGCTGCTCGAAGAGGGTATCGAACTCGGGACCTCTGACACAAGTCCCGTCGCTCTTAACCGCTTACCTACGGGCGAGCCCAAAAAACTGGATTTTAAATTTTAAATTCGGCGTTCATATTTTTAATGCTAAAAATATATATCCGTCATCATATTTTCTTCATATTGAAAATTACATGTAAGTGTAACTTAAGCATTATTTTAGTGAAATATAAAAATAAACAAGTATAGAAGTAAAATTTAATTAAATTAATTAAATCTATAATTTTCAATTTCAATTATACATTACGCCGTAAACTTCGGAACTGATTCAATGGCACTGCGCATGTGACATTGAGTCGCTTATATAATTTTAAACAAAGCATTATACGATAAGTATCTCCATTAATATTGATGATATAGTTACCATTAATTGCCCTATGAATCAGGGGACAATAGGGCTCAATTGATTGTAGTCGATAAACTTCTCGAATGCAGACCGGCGCTTGCATTAATAATTGATTCTATATTGAGTTCATATATGATTTAAATACGTATCTAGTTAAAGTAGATTTAGAAAGATTTATGGACAATTGGTAATTGATAGTTGAATCAGTTACGTGGTAAAGTATGATAATGACGCATTATCTAATATTTGAAGAAATATGATTATTTTGGACTAAACTGAATTTTAACTTAATTAAGTCATAAATATAAATTTGGTTACAAATATTAGTACTCAAACACTGAAATTAATTAAACACGACTTATCAACGTATCTTCGTATCTTTTTGGCTATATAAGCAATATATTAAATTTTATTAGAAAATTGGGCAAAACATAAGCAGTGTATTGAAACACATTTTAGTGTTTTTTTGTTCATCCAATCTATAGAGCCGACTTTTGTATATCTATGGCCCCATTTCCTCCACACAAGAACCAATATTTCTTTGTGTCGTCGTTGGCGGTTACTATCAAGCGTTAAGTAAAATCCAGAGATAAAATTGTACGACCTCAATGATTTGTGATGTGTATACACACTGTTGTAGGCTGAACGAACGAAGAAAAGCGATATTATTTTAATCTGACAGACTTATTGTCGAAACAGCTTTTTCTCTTCGCGATAATCTTTATTATTTGTTATACGGCACGGTGGAGCATACTGGTAGGTTTGGATAACTTTGAATTACTATGTATTGTTTTAGTGCGATAACTTTTATCGATAAATCTTGAGGGATGAAAAATAGGAAAATATTATTCACATTAATGTATTGATAAATTCATTTATTTATTGACTATTGAAAATGATTGATTGATTTTGCGGTAACATATAGAAGCAGTGGAATCCCTTGTGATTGATCGAAAAACGTAGAAGATTTTTTCTATTTTCTTGCTATAATATTACACACGTAACAATCTCTTATAGTATCCGCAAATTTAATTTCACTTTTTCGTTCATAAATATAGAATTGTCATTAAGGTTATTTGACACTGAACTAATTATTTTTTACGTAGATGTGTATTGGAAAATAGAAAAGTAGAAGAGCAATAATACCAGATTTCTAAGATGGTATTTCTAGATTATTTTATTTAAAAAAGGACAATGAATAATTTTTGCTTAAATAAAATTGGATTTTATTTTTGTTAGATTAAATTATTTATAAAATATCAGATAATTTATAAAATGGCGGACTATAATCAAATTTTAAATATGATATAAAAATAATTTTATGTATTCATTCATTCATCGTTTCGTTGTCTCATACGTATGTACAAAAAATCTGTTAGATAATAATAGTCTTCTGCATCACATTAATATTTCTACCTTTCTATATGTTCTAAGTATGTTAAAATTACACTATTGCAAAAATGTGAATTATATGATCGTCCGAACACAAAGCCAAAAAATTATTACAAGCAATGTATAACCAAATTGACAGTCGGAAATTTTCTATATGGTTCGATTCTATGCACTTGTTCTTTAACATAATGAAATTATTCACCAAAACATATAACAAATATTTTCAAATTTCTTCATATCATCAACTTCAATCATATTATCTTTATAAAATGGATTTCACCGAAATGTATCCAGGGTCTTACATAAACATTGTATCCTATGAAACAAGCATCGTTCCCTAATACAATGTCTCTTGATGCAAGGGATTGCTTCAGAGAGAACTAAAGTAACCCGAAGCTAGTATCTCTTCTGAAAGTATAGGGATTTGTTGTAAAATGTACAAATTGCGTCTTGTTAACCTCGTTACTTGTGTTAAATTAAATTCGTATGAAAGAGAACAGTAATTAAAGTAGTGTCAGATAAAATTATTTTAAATCTCGTGCATTTTATGTAGTCTTCAGTTTTAATTGCTTTAAGTAGCTACGGTGGAAAAAGTGACAAACTACAATTGTAGAAACCTTTTCCAAAATATTTCGTGCCGATAATATGTGGGGTTTATAATATGTTATGTTATAGTGTTTTTATAGTTTTATTTTTATTAACTATTTTATTATTTTTTTTTGTTCAAAACATATGTATGATACGACTATTTTTTTTATTCACATCAACTAATAAGTAATTTCTCCATACTTTCAAGTCTTGATAACATGCTCTTGAAATATCATATTTGATCTATGGTTAACATAGATTTTACGCAAGTTATGTTTATCGTTCACTATGTTTTGAAATACTAAAGAACTGCTTTCTCTGTGCATTTATGGGCAATTTTTTATGAAAATATACAAAAAAACTGTTATTGGATCTTCTCAATACCCATAAAATTAGAGAAAAAACAATATTAAATTCCTCTAAATCTATTCAATTTACACCAGCTTGCTCGAATATAAAACACATAGACTATTAATCAATTTTACGGCTTCCTTACCTTCTGTCACCGCGGAAAAGCTGAAGAAAACGTCGCTAGTCTCCGGAGGCAAAGTATAGTGTAATATCGAGACATCCTTATAGGCGATGTACCGGAGGAGCTTATTCCTGGGTAGTCTCGCCAACAGGGGCGGATCCAGGAGGTCGACTCCGGGAATCGCGCATTCGACCGGAGGAAACAATAAGTGTACACAGAGAAGAAACGTTGGCCAAAACGTTGAGAATCGAGCCACCATGGCGCCTGAAAAATATAATAAAATGTTAAAATTAAGTTGTGAATCCAATTATAATTTTATGAATTCTCATGCAAATACTTCGAAGAAAACAATTAAGATACACATATAATACATTATTCAACGTTACAAACCAATTGCAATAACAATGAAATAAACGATATAATTTATTGAGAAAAGAAACCTTATTTATCTATTATTTATATTATATTATATCAAAATATATTTCTTCAAGATTGAGTACCAAAAATACTCATTGAATTAATCACCTCTTAAAATCATCAATTATTTCTACTTTCAAAGATTTGTGTATGACACCATAAACACAAAATATAGCAAATTGGTTTAAAAGTTTTGTTTTACATAAATAGATATTTTTTAATCCTACTATAAAGAAAAACACTACTTCAACCTTTTCGACTCGGATGCCTCTGGCAGCAAAATTCATACAAATCTCGGAATTCGCGAGTGGTAAGTGTTAAAATGAGAATAGTTAAACAAATTTCTGAGAAAAAACCAAAAGGAAGGTATGAGGTTATGACACCTATATTTATATTTCTAACAAATATTTAAAACCCTAAATATTATTTAGTTTACATATATAAAAAATATATTTAATATATTATTATAATTTTTTGTATTCGCATAGTTTCCATGTTGGCTAATATTTATTAATACGTGCGAATAATATAATCAGACCCATTGATGCATTACGGTTATTAACTTTGCATATATGTCAGGTAAATCATTTTGCGCATTTAATAATAATGAATGAACCATGAAATTACATTAAAATAGCATTCGAATCAATTTAATAACTATTTTAACTACGAGTAATGTGAACGCGAATATTGCAAAATTTATATCCAGCGAAAGAGATAAAATGTAACCGTTCTGATTGTGTATGAACACCGTAAACGTAAATTATTGTTTTAATTGAATTCAAGATTATCCCAAGTCCGTGGAGGAATATGCACTGTTTTTGTGTCTTTAATTAAAAAAAGCTTTTCGCAAATTTCTTTGGCCATCATCAAAATGGAATTTATTTGAGATGAATGCGGGGTCCGCCTGTATTTTTGGCGTTTCTTATCTAATCCCAGAAATAAACAGATGAGCCGAGCAAAAAAGCTACCTACCCCCATTTCCGGGATGATAACACATTTTTAACGTTGAAAGCATGCTGCCGGAGAGATATTAACCGATGATAAAAATGCAGAGAGTGACTTTTTGAAATTATGTATTCCTTCGGTACGTTCGAATTTATGAAAAACGTTTTATGATTCTTTTTCTTCATATTCACGCCTTGGTTCATAATTTTTCCTTATGTATTGATATTTATTATTCAATAAAAAAGTAAAATATCTTAAGCCATTCAATAAAACGATTTTTATGCAAATTTTTTTGTTGGCTTTAGGAAAGTCCACAAGGTAACAGTAATTAGATATAAAAACGTATTTAGAATTTTAAAAATAAATTTTGTTCTTAGATATGCTTGAAAACCAATAAAAAGAACAAATCGGAGTGCTTCTAAAATATTACATTTGATCGACTTCAAAGAGCTAGAATTTCTATTTTACACAGTTTACAGATACATGTTTATCACAAATTCATCAAAAATTTCTTAAGAGCTTTACATCAATTTTGGATTCTTAACATTTCTCAATATAGAACATGTGTTTACCAATACCTTTTTGAGAATCAATCGGTGACAAAAATCTATATAAACTACGAGAAAATAGTTATATTTTATTTATACGAGTATATAATATATAAAAAGTGATTAAAATTCAATTTTTACATAAATAAATCAAATTTTAGACATTATAGTTGCTGATAGGAGAAAGATTGCTGGAAGTTTCTACAAACATTTTTGGAAATTGTAAAAGATGGTTAATAAATGTGGCCAATAATAAATATTGGAATCATTTCGAAATATTAAAGTAATAATGAAATATATATATATATATATATATATATATATGTATATTTATATATACTTTAAAATTTTTATTTTTCGACCTAAAATCATGCGTATGGTGATGGCAATTCGTATCACAAAAGGACCAGCGGTTCTCTAAGCAAACGTTAATTCAATTAAAACTTTCACAAACACATCGCATGGTGTGTTAATTAAAATATTTATAATACACCAACTGCTGAAAAGCTCAAAAGCTGTAAAGGGTCAAAATAAAATATTTTCCTAAAACAAAATTATTCACATGCGTACCTTTACCGCGATACACGAAGCAATGATAGCATTTATATGTACGTTGGCATAATACTGGCATTGCGCAGACAGAATTCAGTAAACATGCATTGCAGAGAATCAATATAGCATACGGTTTTATTTGCACGATTCAGAATAGGTGCATATTTATCCATAGGCGAGATATGTTAACATAATTTGGTGGAAAATTGCGAATCGTTTAGTGTCAGAGAAAAATTGAAATTTGGAAAAAAAATCCTGGCTTTCAGTTTCTTCTCGCGTAAGTTTATCAACCATCTGTATTACTCTTCTACCCTGTCCTTTTAGTCTTTTTATTTTACCTTCTACGACGTCGTGTGGGAGGCATTTTTTGCAGTATGGGTCCGATCCAGTTTCCTTTTTTTTTTTCAGGATCGTTCTCAGTAGAGTTCTTTCTTCACCGACTCTTCTCAGGACTTCTTCATTTGTTATCTTGCCTGTCCACTTTATTTTCCTACAGCACCACAATTTGACCTTTCCAGATATATATATATATATATATATATATATATATATATATATATATGTGTGCGTGAGCAAAAACTTTTTCTTCACTTCACGAATCCTCGACGTAAATTCATCTCCAACGAGAAGTCTTTTTAACAATATCTTCGATATCATTTCATTATTTATTTAATATTAATACTATGCTCTTCGCACGTATACATTTCTATTATTAATATAACGTGAACATTTTCTGACTCTGTTTTTGTTTCATTTCTACGAGTAATAGAATACGCTCAGTAAAATTCATTTTTCAGAAGACGATATGATATGAAAACCTCTATACTTCATCGTATCAATTACATGGTAACAATAATAACGAATAAAGGTCAAAGGGTAATCAGCTAAAATTAGGGCCGGTATATATCTTAAATGTAAAATAATATGTATTCTGTTTTTCGTATTCAATTAAAATATTTCTATCAAAACGAATCGCCAGCATATTGACATATTTTTGAGTTATAAATGGAATCATAATGAAAGACACAAAAAGTCACGTTTACAATTATTCAAATAAATGTGCTTTTTCTATAGAGAAATAACAATGTACTCCATGCAATACATTTTAAAGCATTTTTATTAGAAACTATCCTTATATATTATTAGTGGTAGAGAAAAAAATAATCTTACGATTTTTATATTTTTGCTGAGTTATATCCATACTATTATTTTGGATTTTAGAGAATTACTTATAATTCAAATTTTGCCCATAATTAAATAGCTATTATTCTGGCAAACATGTCATTCAAGTTGCATATCCAATTATTTCGATTCACATGATATTTAATTCGCATCAAAGTCTCTAAGATAATTGACCTCAATCTCAATTCGAGTTTTGATATATCGACGTTAGTAAAGTAATGACAGGCTAAAATCTCTCTTCTTGTTTTATTGGTTTCCACAAAACATCTCAGTCTGGCTGAAGTGCGAACTAAGTTTTTCCAATTTTCTCCATCGTTGACGCCGCCTGCCAGAAACGTTCGAATCAAATCAGAGAGATTAATCCGAACTTCTTCCATAGCTCTGTTTCGCAACAGAAAACTCCTCAACTCAAAATTACTTTTCAACTATTAAAATACCATATCAGCTTTATGAAGAGCAGAAGTATAGAAAGTCATATTTGACTTATTACTTCAAGATATGGGGAATAAAGAAATTATACTATAAAAGTAAATTCAACTGGTGATTGCAAAATCTTACGGTTTGTTATAAGAAAGTTTGTTCAAAATATTCATGTCTACTGAATGTTTGAAGATGACAATTTTTTATATAAAATTTATCATAATTTAATATAATGCATCGTAATACATTTTATATGCATACGTCAACTTTTTTCAATACCTTTTCGTATTTTTCCCATATTACTTACAAGGAGCACTTTAGGTTTAATTTTCTAGAATTTTAACGAAACCTCGCATGGTGGTCGTGTTGATAGTCAAACGGAACCGTATAAAATATTATAGGCTTATGAGAAGCAGTTTAATTATGAAAAATAATTAAAGCTTTGAAAAATAAGCCGCGCGGAATACGTACGCCTACAGTGTTCCATTTTCAAATATCTAGTTCCTATTTTTTGCAATTAGAGGTACATAAAAATGACAGATTTCTTATAGGTACATATAAATTAGCATGTATGACTATAATGTATATGTAAGTCTAAAATTCCACCAGCGATCCGTTTAATCTATATCGAACCAAAGCAAAAAATCATAGAGAACTATAACGATATAACACCGCCGTCGTTGACTTTTCCGGAAAAAGTTCTCTCATATTGCTTTTCCGGCGGACCATCGGCTCGTGATTTATTATTTCATTAGAGGCTTTTTTCCTTCACTCGCGACATCATGCGACATCAGGCGCTAACAAATGTTATACGTCGTCCTGGTACATGTTCATGAAAATAGTGGCCCAATTAAACTTTATAAGCCATTCGATTTATATCCACGGAGTTTCTTTGGACGGCAAATTTACTACTGCTCGTTCTACATATTGATGCCGAATATAAGGCGTGAAAGTTTTTACATTCGTGTTGCATATTCCATGGCGAACGACTGCATTGATTTAAAACATTCTATGGATATGGAATTCAATTTATATTTATAGTGTTCGAAATTCAAATAAAAATATTTCAGTTTTAATGAATTGACTCGAATTATTTTTAAATGTATGCGATACACTACCCGCAACATTTAACGTATCTCAAATAAACTACATTCAATTTTTGTTTCTATTTATTTTTGGTTAAAAAAAACATGTTTC